GGAGAAACTGATTCTAGCGTTCCCATCGCCAGAAGCAGCTCCCGACGCCGTCGATGCGCTTAGGAAGAGCTACCCCAACATCTTCGAGTACATCGCCACCCACGGGCCCCCGCACATTGAGTCTTAAGCCCCTTCGCGATGGCGAGACTACCAGGCAGTTGGCTGCGTCGAGTGGGATGCGCAGCGCGCTCGGCGCGACAGTCAAGGCTAACCCGCCCCTCGCGCAGTGGCCCGTCGATTCGTCAGTCGAAATCCAGGCCCATCTTTGCAACTGGTGCTGAGGCGGGTGAAGCAGTGAAGCTCGTCCGCCGTGCCAAAATTTGCTCGGTTCAGGAATTGCCCCGCGTCGTCTCGCTCGCCTGCCACTTCGGGGCCTTTTCGGAGTCGGAGGCAAGCAGCAGCTGGAGCTCCCATCGGAGTGCCCACCAACCTTGAGAACCCGTCCGATCATGTTCCTGCGATGATCATTTTCGTCCCGAATCCTCGTCTCTCTGCGACGGTCCTTCTCCGATCCCTGCGTGGGTCGCCAGAGCTGGTGAGCTTCGTCAAATTATGACGGGAAGGATTGATGCGACTGGCGTGCCCCAGCCGACCCGCGCGCGCGGCTAGAGCTAACGCGGCGACGCATGAGACGCAAGCTGAGTTTCGGAAGACGACGTTGTCGATTCGCCACCTTCCCGCGCGCGATCCTGCGGCGGTTCGTTGCTGCTCGCCGCGTGCGCAGTGCAAATTTTCAGCAGCTTCTTGTTCGAGCCGCGCGCGCCTGCCCCGTGCTCTCTTCCCTCCTCGACGTTGACGCCGTCGCCCTCTTCGATTCGCCGTGTCTACGCGCGCGCGTGGCCACGCCGAGCAATCAACTTCTGGACGGCGAAGAGGCCATCTCGCAGTCAATGGTGCCCCCCAGATAACGAGGTGTCGTGCAGGCGCGCGCGCGCGTGGCACTATCGCGAGCGGTGGCACAGTCTGAACAAGTCAGTTTGTTTTGGTAACATCCGCGCGCGGCGCACTGGTGCACCGCGTGCGTCTGCGCAGCATGCCAGCGCCGAGCGCGCTCGTCGCTGGGGCTGCGTCTCTGCCGCTGAGCTTCCAAATTGTGCTCTCTGTCTTACTAATGCATCTCATATCCAGCGTGCTGATGTTATCGTCCTTGATCTGGCGTGCTGGGGGCGCAATGCCATGGGCTGATGGGCCGCTGGCCGACCGTTGCTGGGAACGCCCTGGGGCCGCAGGAATCCGGTTCGATCTCCACCGCCACTGCGTCGCTCGCCCTGAAGACCCCGCCCCGGCGACTTCCACGAGATGCCCGTGGCTTTCTTGCCCGCGGGGGGCCGCGCCACGGAATCGACTGCCGCTCCGTGCCCGGGGGCCGCGTCGACTCGCCCGCCCCCGATGGGGCGCGCTGATGATTGTGAACTCGTGACGGCGGCTGTCGCCTATCCTCTCTTCTGGGTCAGCGTTTGCAACGTGCGCCCCTGTCAGTCTGGCGCCTCGGGTCGCTCTTTCCTCAAAGGCATAAGACCACGCGAAGCTGGCGGCTCACGGGCGCGCCTCGAGGGCCGGCGGGGGGCAGCTCGAGCGCCCGTGGATTTCAAAGCCGACGTCCCCAGTCTGTCCCTTGAGCGGGGCGCTATTCGTCCTAGAGCACAGGGGCGCCCCTGCCTGGACTGGTCGTTTTTTCGAGAATCAGTGCCAGGACAACGTTGCTAGGCTTCATTTTTGTGGCGCGATTCTGGCGCCATTTGCGCTCGGGGCTGGCCTGGGTCGCCCTGCGCCCGTGCCCTTGTTTGCCGTGGCCGCGGCGGGCCCGGCGGGCCGTTGGCTAACTGCTGCTGGCCCCTTCAGGTTCAGCTTCTCAGGTTGCGCAGGCGATCCTGGGTTCTCGACGAACAACTTGATGACCGATCTGGGTCCGATCTTCGGCGAGCTGCGCTGGCTCGCCGATGCTATCTGGTAGGAGTCGCACTTCGGGAAATGCGTCGCACTTGTCCGTGGGCATGTGGATTTGAATGCATGTCGAGTGTTTCCTGGGAGCCCGGGCGGCGGGCGCGCGCGGTTCTCGTCGGCGACATGGCGCCATCTGGCGGGGCGCGCGGGGCCAAGTGCTCGCCCAAATAGCTTCCCGGCGCAGTGCGACGCATACTTCTTCCGCGCGTGTGAGATTAGCCTCGCGGGGGCCAGCCTAGCCAGGTCGATTGTCGCCTGCGCTACTATGGATGTCTGTGTGCTCAGCGTCGTGTTGTAATCCCATCGACTCACCCCGCGTCTGTTGCATCTTGAAGATGGAGCGCAGCAGATCAGTCGCCTTGGCACTCGGTGCTGTTGCAGTGGCAGTATGATATTTGGGGCGCAGGCTGCGACGCGCAGTGCGCGTCGTTTCGCTGTGTGGTGCGAGTATCAGTTTGTCGCGAGGTTCAGGGGTTCCAGGCCTGGCCGCGGTTCCTAAATGACCTGCAGCAGATTCTGGATTATTTTCTGGAGCTTATTTCTGGTCGGTGTTCCCGCGGATGCTTCACGATCTTGCCCCCGCCCTACATAGGGGCGGCGTTTCAGAGACGCCCCCTCCTCTCGCCGCGCAGATTTGCCCTGGCGACCAAGCGTCTGCGACGCAAGCCCAACTCGCTCGCGCTTTGAGAGAAGCGGAACAGCCTGGCGCGATGGCTGGTGAGCCCCCAGAGAAGCGCTGAGATAGTTTCCCCTTCCCCTCCCTCCTGCAATTTGGTTTCCAGTTCTCCAGGTGGGAATGCGGCATGTTTGTCGAGCTGTCTCGATGTTCTTACTTGATGCGGCCCTGAGGGCCCTGCGCCGTGGGGTTTGGATCTCGGGTCGGTTTCATTCTCAGCCTGGGCGTTGTTTTGTTGGTTGTCGCGGGGGCCCCAGCGATCAGTGTCGCTACCAGCGCTGTCCCCGCGTTGCTGGTCCATTTTCGACTTGGGCACCCCCCTTCCCCCTTCTCGGCCTCGCTTCCCCCCCTTTCCCTGCCCTCGGCTGCGTCGACGGGGCCCGGCGCTAAGTGCGACGCTGCCTTCTGAAAGAGCGCGTTCTGTGGGCGCTTGGAATTGGGATAGTCGGAACCAGCACCCCCCCCTGTTTCCAGGGGGGGTGGTCGATGCCCTCGCCCCCCCCCCCTTCCAGAAAAGGGGGGGGGTCGAACGACCCCCAGGCTTGCGCCAGCGCCGGCGCCCGCCCCCCCCCCCGGCCGGCACCGGCGCTAGCGGCGGCTGTCGGCGGCGGCGGGGAATGTCGACGAGAGCGACGATTCAACGGGGGTGGCGGGGTTCGAACCCTTCGTCGTCCTCCAGGCGGGCGCCGGTGCCAGCGCCAGCTGGCGGCGGCGGTGGCGCCGGCGAATGCGACGACGACGACGGCGACGAAGGTGACGACGACGACGACGGCGACGGCGGCGACGGCGACGAACACGGCGACGACGACGACGACGACGACGACGACGGCGACGACGACGACGACGAATGCGACGACGACGACGACAACGACGGCGACGACGACGACGACGAGCACGGCGACAACGATTACGACGACGACGGCGGCGATGACGACGAAGACATAGCGACGACGGCGACGACGACGACGACGGCGACGACGGCGACGACGACGACGGCGACGGCGACGACGGCGACGACGGCCACGATGATGACGACGACGAGCACGGCGACCACGACGGCGACGGCGGCGATGAGCTCGACGGCGACGACGACGACGACGACGGCGACGACCACGACGGCGACGGCGGCGATGAGCTCGACGACGACGACGACGACGAAAACATAGCGACGACATAGCGACGACGGCGACGACGACGACGACGGCGACGTTGACGACGACGACGACGACGGCGACGACGGCGACGACGGCCACGATGATGACGACGAGGACGATGGCGACGACGACGACGACGACGATGGCGACGACGGTGACGACGACGACGACGACGGCGACGACGACGACACTGACGACGAGCACGACGACGACGGCGACGACGACGACGACGACAGTGACGACGACGGCGACGACGGCGGCAACGAAGACAATGACGACGACGACGACGACGAGCACGAGTACGACGACGACGACAGCGGCGACGACGACGACACTGACGACGGCGACCCCAACGACGAGCATGACGACAACGGCGACGACGACGGCGACGACGGCGGCGACGATGTCGAAGAGCACGGCGACGACGACGACGACGGCGACGACGACGACGACGACGACGACGACAACGGCGGCGACGACGACGACGAATACGACGACGACGACGGCGAGGACGACGGCGACGACGACGGCGACGACGACGACGACGGCGGTGACGACGACGACGACGGCGACGGCGGCGACGACTTCGACGACGACGACGGCGACAGCGGTGACGATTACCACGGCGACGGCGACGACAGCCACGACGGCCACGACGGCCACGACGACGACGACGTCGACGACGGCAACGACAACCACGGCGACGACGACGACGACGGCGACGGCGACGACGACGACGGCGAGCACGATGACGACGATGGTTCTGATAGCGACGACGACGACGACGGCGACGGTGGTGACGGCAGTGACGACGACGAGCGCGGCGACGACGACGACGACGACGACGACGGCGACGACAACCACGGCGACGACGACGACGACCTCGCCAACGACGACGACGGTGGCGACGACGGCGACGAGGACGACGACGGCGACGACGGCGACCACGACGACGGCGACAACGACCACGACGGCGACGGCGGCGACGGCGACCTCGACGACTACGAGCATGACGACGACGACGACGACGACGACGACGACGACGGCGACGACGACGACGACGGCGACAACGACGACGACGACGATTGCGATGACAGCGACGACGACGACGGCGATCACGACGACTTGAAGCATGACGGTGACGACGACGACGGCTGCGACGACGACGACGACGACGGCGTTGACGACGATGACGACGACGACGACGACGACGGAGAGCGCGGGAGGCACGCGAGACATCGCGATTTTCAGGGCCGAACACAAAGGACTACAAGGGACCTTGTCGTCGTTGCCGTTTTCGTCCTGGTTATCGTCGCCGCGTCGCCGCCGTCGGGGCTGCCAGCCGCCGCCGCCGCCGGCGCCGATTGGGGGAGCGAGGGGGAGGGGCGAGGGGAGTCCCCCTGGTTCTTTTCGACGGCGCCGAATGTTCAGGGGTCGGGGTATCCCCCCGTTTCAAACGCGCCGCCGAATGTTTCCAAGGCGCGCTCCCTGTGCACACTGGTCAGATGCTGTGTTCGCACCCGCTCTCAGCTGCGGTCGCGGCCCGCTCCGTCGGGGACGTCGTTTGAACGCATCGTCGAGGCAGGTTGAGACATGGCGATGCAGCGCGACCCCCCGATTCGGGCTGCCATATAACCTGTCCGTAACCTCGTAGGTTGGCCTAACCCGTTTACTCTTCGGGCTCGTCTCTCTCACTTTTCTGGCGCCTCGAGCTTGCTTTCGGCTGAGGAGGCTTTTCGGGGCCTGGGCACAGCTGCCGTTACGTTGCTTGCCCTCGCGCGCGCGCGGTCCTGACATCTTCGAGCGTTCCGCTCCTGCCATTGTGGGATGTGCGCTTTTATGTTTTCTTTCTTGTGTCCCCCCTGTATGCTCCCCTGCTGCTTCTGCTGTCGTCGCCAGTACTGTTGCTGTGCGTCCTCTCCTGCGCGTCTCCCCTTCTGCTGCTCAGCTGTGATTATGCTGCTGCTGATGCCAGTGGTTGGGTTGCCCTTCGCTGTGGATGCCTGTTCCCGAATCCCGATCTGCTCGGGGGCGCGCTGGCTCGCGCAAACTTTTATGCAGTGACCTCTTATCTGACAGCCCAGCCTCTCTTGTCCACTCTCTGCTGCGAGAGAGCGCCTCTCTCCCCGCGGCCCGCGCCGCCCGCCTTCCCTCCCGGACAAGTGCATGGGCGGGATGTTGCCGTCGCCTTGACCTCTCGGGGCGGTCGCAAGGTCTGTCCAGAGAGTGCGGTTGGAGTTCCGGCCCGTCGCTATTGTGTTCAGCGGTCGTCACCCCCATGGCGCACATTTTTGGAATGCCCTCACCCGTGCGCGGAGTCCTGGCCGTCCTGGCAAGTTCGAGCGCACCTCCGCCCGCACTTGCCGTCGCCGCCCTATTGGTGGCGCCCCGACTCTCTCTGGGTGGCGAGCTTCGTGTATTGTCTGATCGCGCCTGATCGTCTCCTCCTTCCTCTTGCTCTGCTTGCTGTTGCCTGCTGTTTCTCGGCTAGCCATGGCGCCCGTCCTTTGGGACGGCCTGGCACTGTTTGCGCCCAGTACTTGTAGCGTTTGCCCCAGCCGTCGTGCACGAAGTTTGAATGTTGTATGGCTTCATCGATTGTCATCCCGTTCGTCGCCATCAGTCCGCTGAAAAGAAAGGGAAGATCATCCTCTTCATCCTTGTCATAAACGTCATCTTCAAACTCATTGTCATTATATATATACATATATCACCATCACCAACGTCATCATAATCACCATCAGAGGCATCATACCACCGATGTCACCGTCATCGCCACCAGCACCATCATCATCATCATCATCATCATCATCATCATCATCATCGTCATCGTCGTCGTCGTCGTCGTCGTCGTCGTCGTCGTCCTCGTCGTCGTCGTCGTCGTCATCATCATCATCATCATCAGCATCATAATCGTCATCGTCATCACCATCATCGTCATCATCATCATCATCATCACCATCATCATCAGCAGCAGCAGCATCCGCATCAACGCCATCACCGACACCATCACCAAAATCACCACACGTCAAGGGAGAACACCCCCCCGACCCCCAGAACTGGCGTTTCCTGAACGACCACGGGCATTCCTTAAGCAGCCCCCGCCCTGTCAGACTCGTTCCTTCGGTGCGTCTGCGAAACGGCTTCGCTCGTTGGGGTGTCTCTTATGGCTCTCTCTCCGCCCTCTGCACTGGGCGCCTCGCCCCTCCGCCTGCTGCCGCTCGCCCCCCCCCGCCCCCCCCTCCCCCCGCCAGGACGACGGGAAACTCTGCGGGCTGGTCACGCGCCCGTCGCTGGAGGCACTGCTGCCGCGGGCTGCGGGAGGCCGCGCCGTTGGGGCGGAAGGCTGGAAATGTATGTTTACCATACAAAATGAAGCGCTTCTTGCTTCTGGGAAACCTCTCAGGGCGTCTCCGGGTGGTTTCTTGGGCCGTGTTGGGAGCCTATAGGACCGCTGGGAGCCAATTTGGAGGGTCTTGGAGCGACTGGGCCCCTCTTGAGGCCGTCCTGCGGCTCTCCTGGGTCGTTGCAGTTGTTCCTGGGGCCTTCGCGGGGCCCTTGCTGGCCGTCTTGGAGCCTTCTTCGAGTTTTTTTTTTGTCCTCTGGCGGGTAACGCTTGCTACCCCGGCCCCCCCCCCCCCCGGTAACGCTAACGATCATACGTTTTTGGGGGGGTGGGGCGGACCCCCCCTCCTCCCCAGCAGGTATGGCGCTGTGCTCGCAGGCATGGCGTGGCGCTGAAAGGCATGTGTGGTGCTCACAAACATGTTGTGGCGTTCGCAGGCTCCCCACCTGTTGAGGCGCCGAACTCACAGGCATGGCGTGGTGCTAAAATCAAGGGCGAAAAAATCGCCCCTACCCTTGTTTATGAGGCGCTGTGTGCTGAACGTCCTGCGGGCTGACAGTGTAATCCCTGCGTATCGCGCGTGCCGCGCGGCGTCCTGGCGGCTCTCTGGCCAGTTGGAGCTCCCAGGAGGTTTACTGACCACGCACTTGTAACCCATGGTAGGGGCGTGATTCCATTCTTCAATAAAATGCATGTTTCGGTGCCCACCTGCTTGTTGTGCCCATGACGAACGATTTTCGGCTGGGCGGGAGGGCCGCCGTTGTCTCTGGCGGGTCGTCGCCGGCGCCGGCGCCTTTTCGCCGGTCGCCGCCGCGGCCGCCGCCGCCGCATGTTGGTCCGAACGTTGCTCTTGGTGCCTTGGGTTCTCCTCCGCCTCTCCTTGTCCCTTTCTCCACCGCTCTCCCTACCTCCTCCCAGGCTGTTTTTGTCGGTAACCACGCTGCCCACTCACTTTGGTTTCACTTTGGTGGATTCCCCTCCCCATTAGTTGGGGAACTGGCAGTGTCCTCCTTGGGGTCTGTGGCTGGGGGAACAGAAAAATGTAGTCGTCCTCGTCGTTCGCCGTCGTTCGTCGTCGTCGTCGTCGTCGTCGCGGTCGTCGCCGCCGCCGCCGCCGTTGTCGTCGGCGTCGTCGTAGTTGTCTGCGTCGTCGTCGTAATCGTCCTCGTTGTCGTCGTTGTCGTCGTCGTATTCGTTGTCTTCGTCGTCGTTGTGTCGTTGTTGCCGCCGCCACCATCGTTGCCGTCGTCGTCCCGAGGTTGAAGGTTGAACGCGACCCAGGGGTCCGCTTCGGGCCCCGGGGCCCGCAGAAACGAGCCAACGGCGCGAAATCGATATCGATGATGGGGTCGAAGGCCTCCAGGATCCTTCAGGGGTGGACATCGTTCAAGACCGAACGACCCACGCGGTGTCAGAAACCAAGGCCGACGTCATCGCGACACGAGCCTGCCGTACATTGCCGTGTACACAGGCGACATGGTGAGGGTTCCCGCGGTTTGCGGCGGGCCCTGCAAAGAAGCTTCGCAAGCTACTGATGTGCCCGCTGGCACGCTTGGCGTTCTGGTGTAAACAGGCGTAGTTGTGCACGGAGGCATTGTGGTGTGCGCAGGCGCTGTGATGCACATGGTTGCTGTGGTGTACACGAGGGTTGTTGCGCACACGGTTGCTGCAGTATACACAGATCTTGCGGCGGACATGGGCGACGTGGTGGCGTTGTGCACGCGGCCGTTGTGGTGTACGGAAGCACTGTGGTGTACTGAGGCGGCGTTGTACTGCACGAAGGCATTCGGCATTGTCGCGTGCGCAGGGATCGTTGCGCGCGCAGGCACTGAATGCGCCAGTGGCGCGGACGCACCCTGGCGGGCGCACGCCGCGACCGCCGTTACCGTTACCCGCCGCCCCCCTCCCCCGGGTAACGGCCGTTACCCAGAATAATAAAAATACAGTATCTTGGGGGCCTTGTGGGTTCGTGAAAGGCTAAGAGGCGAGTGTGTTTAAAGTATATGTTTTGTCCGAAGGGAATGGGACGATTTTTGTTTCTGGAGGGCGTCTTGGTGGCTTCTTGGGGCGTCTTGGGGGCTTCTGCGGCCGTCTGGAGGCAATCTTCGGCGTTGTGGAACGATCCCTCATCGACTCGGAGCTTTCTTGGACCGTTCCAGGAGCCTTTTGGATTTGTTTGGCTCGTTTTGGAGCCCCTTACGGTTCCAAGTGTGCGGCCGGCACCTTTACCCTCCACCCCCACCCCTCCAAACCGGCCGACCGGGCTCCCGGGGGAGGCGTTTGGGGGGGGAGGGATCTCACACGCCGTGGCCCCAGAGGGGGTCGGTTGGACGTTTCCCTTAGGGAACGGGCCGATGTTTGCTTGTGGAGGGCCTCTTGGGCCGCGTCCTGGTGGCGTGTTGGGGCGTGCAAGGGGTCTCAGGGGCCGCGTGAAAGGCCAAGAGGCGAACGTGTTGGAAATATGCGTTTTCCATCGAGAATGGGACGGTTGTTGCTTCTGGAACGCTTCTTGGGACGCCTCTGGGTAGCGTGCTGAGGCGTCTTAGGGGCTTGTAAGGCTGTCGGGGGGCAATGTTGGACGACTTGGGGCACTGTTGAACGACTTGGGCTGACCAGGAGGCCTTTTAAGAACCCTCTTTGGCCCGTCTAGAGGCGGGCCCTCTTGGGATCGTCCTGCGGCTCCGGCTCTCCAGGGCCGTTGCTATGGTTTCTGGTGCCTTCGTGGTGCGCCCGGAAGCCGTCGTGGAGCCTTTTTGAGAGCCTCTTGGGGTGTCGGGGGTCGAAGCTGGTGGTTTACTGTGCTGTTGTAGGCCTCCTGGAAGCCCGAGAGGCGAATGTGCTGAAAATGTATGTTTCCCCTGGGGAATGGGACGATTTTTGCTTCTGGAGGCCTTCGTGGAGCCCCTGGTAGTAGCTTTTTCAAACGTCTCGGGGGCCCCTTGGGAATCGTCTGCAGGCAAGCTGGGGCGGTTTGGACCGAATCGTCCCCCTCGTGGGCCGTCCAGACGGCCTTTGGGGACCCTCTTGGCCCGTTGTGGGGCTCTCGTGGGACCGTCCTGCGGCTCTCCTGGGCCGTTGCTGTGGTTTCTGAGGCATTCGTGGTGCGCCCGGAAGCCGTCGTGGAGCCTCTTTGAGAGCCTCTTGGGATGTCGGGGGTCGAAGTTGGTGGTTTACTGTGCCGTTGTAAGCCTCCTAGAAGCCCAAGCGGTGAATGTACTGAAAATGTTTTTCTTCCTTGGGGAATGGGACGATTTTTGCTTCTGGAGGCCCTTTTGGAGCGCCTCGTGGACGCGCTTTCAAACGTCTTGGGGGCCTATGGGGCCGTTGGGAGGCAATCATGGGCGGTTTGGACCGAATCGTCCCCCGCGTGGGCCGTCTGGGCAGCCTTTGGGGATCCTGTTGACCCTTATTGGAGCCCTCTTGGGACCGTCCTGCGGCTCTCCTGGGCCGTTGCTATGGTTTCTGGAGCCTTCGTGGATCGCCTGGAAGCCGTCGTGGAGCCTTTTTGGGAGCCTCTTGGGCTGCGGAGGGTCGATCTTGGAGGCTTCTTGGGCCGTTGTGGGCCGCGTGAAGGCTCCAAAGGCGCATGCACTGAAAATGTACGTTTTCCCTGGGGAATGGGACGGTTTTTGCTTCTGGAGGGCCTTCGCGGGGCGCCTCGTAGTACTTTTTCAGAAGTCTTGGGGATTGATGGGGCCGTCTGCAGGCAATCTTCGGCGTTTTGGAACGATCTTTCGTCGACTCGTAGCTTTCTTGGACCGTTCTGGGGCCTTTTTGGCTTGTTTTGGGGCCTCCTGAGGCTCCAAAGTGTGCGGCCGGGACCTTTGCCCCCCCCCCTCCCCCTCCAAACCGGCCGGACTGGGCCCCCTGGGGAGGGATTCGGGGAGGGGGAAGCATCTCACACGCCGTGGCCCCAAGGGGTGGGCGCCCTTGCTTCAGAACATATTGAGATTCTTTGGTAATTCCAGGGTGACCTTGGAATTACCAGAAAAACCATGGAAAAAGCAGCTAATCGATAGGGTTGAACAGTCTTCAGCGCCACATAATATTTTGAATTGCCTATGGGTGGAAGGATGCAGGATGGATCCTGAACAAAGCGGAGTCTCGTCTGAATGGCTGGCCCACGGGGCGTTCGTTTGTTGAGGGGGGCGTTTCCTGCAGTGGAGAGGAACACTTGGTAGGGTCTTTTGGAGAGAGGAGGACTTAGGACGGGAGAGTATACCGCAGCATCGTGAATTCATCTCGGGTCTACTCTGGTCTGGGATGCTTCTCCATCGGTCAGTCAGCAGCGCCAGCAGCGAGAGGAAGAGGATGAGGATGAAGACGATGATGTTGCGGATTGTGATGATGATGGTGCTGTTGATGATGACGAGAAGAGGATGAGAAGGAGGATGGTGATGGTGAGGATGATGATGATGATGATGATGATGATGATGATGATGATGATGATGAAGATGATGATGGTGATGATGATGATGATGATAATGAGGAGGAGGAGGAGAAGGAGGAGGGTGGGGAGGAGGAGGAGGACGAGGAGGAGGAGGAGGGGGGATAATGGGCGGCACTAGCAGCAGTAGCAACAGCAGAGGGAGGCACGTGAAGAGCCGCCGAGGCAGTGGCGGCTTGGACGCTCGCAGCCAGCCGTTGACAGGCCCACGGTCTTCGACGCAGGTGCCATGCTCGTGCTTTCCTCCGCATCGACTCCTCCTGGCCCGTCCTCTCCTCCTTCTCCAGCCCCTCCTCCTTGACTGCGCATCCTGCCCCTCCTGGCTCCTCCTCTTCCTCCTCCTCCTCCTGACTGCTCTCCTTGCTGTTGCCTTGGAACCGGTGTTCCCTTGCTGTTGCCTTGGGTCCCCTTGCTGTTGCTGACTGCCAGGCTCACGATCCTCCCTTGCTGCCGCCTTGCGCCCCGTGCCTCCACCGGCCGCGGCCGTCGTGAGCCCTTCTCGTTGGTGCCCGCCCGCCGCCTTTTCGAGCTGTGCGCCGGCCGACTTCACCACATCGGGGATTCTGCACGAACGAAATGGGCACGGAAAGAATGGGTACAATGCCCAACAGCAGTTTCTGTTCATTTTGAAGAGGACTCGCTGTCCGCGCCGCCGCGGCTGTGTCCGTTTGAGACAGGAGGCCGCCTGCCCAGCAGCGCCCGCTGTTGGTTTGGGACAACATTTGTTGTTGGGCATTGTACCCATTCTTTCCGTACCCATTTCGGGCGTCCAAATCGTTGGTGCCCGCCCGCCGCCTTTTCAATCTGTGCGCCGGCCGACTTCACCACATCGGGGATGCCGTGGTCGGCGTTTTGGGGGAATGCTTTGATTTCGGCCAGATATCGTGGCGACCAGAGCGACCCAGGCTGAGATGGGTTAGTGTTACGTCCTCCCTCTGCAGTGCAGTAAAGAGCTGCGAGAAGACGAGCAAGAGAAGACACGGTGGATGGAGCCGAGGCTCCGCTGCTTGCACCGCTTCGGGACGGCCTCCGGGCCGGCACGCGCGTCAGCCAGTCAGTCAGTTCAGATCAGTTGTTTGATTTTCGAGCACCCCACCTCTTGCCTTCTCCCCACGGCTGCCTCGGTCTCACGCTTGCCCCTTCCCAGAATGCATGGAGGGGCGGACAGGAGGGCAGCAACCATGGTGACAGAGGTGTTTGCAGCAGTGCTAGCAGCAGCAGCAGCAGCAGCAGTGGCATCAGCTGCACGAGCACACGTGGCTGTGGTAAGAGCCGTCGGGCACGCAGGTGTGGCGTCCGTAGCATGGGCGTCGCTGTTTAATCATCAGCAGTGGCGGTGTCGGCAGCATTGACGGCCGTAGTACATGGAAGCCGCAGTAGTAGTATCCGAGAAGTGCAGGTCATATATATATATATATATATATATATATACGGCATGCATGCATGCATGCATGATGTACATACCCACCTACCTACCTACCTGCCTACCTACCTACCTACCAACATACATACATACATAAGTCCATTCATACATACCTACGTCAATCCATCCATACATACATGCATACACACATACATACATGCATGCATCTATACATACGCACATGCATAAATGCATGCATACATACATACGCACATACAAACATACATATTTACATATATATATATATATATGCTCACGGGTTATTGGCAAGACGCCCCAAATTTGCAACGTATCTTTGACGAGTTCGGGCAAATCTCCGGCCTCCGTCTGAACCTGTAAAAGTGCGCGACTATCCTCGAGCATGGTTTTCTGGAACAGCTGCAACAACGCCGGGACAGGTGCCCTCTTGAATGGGCCAGGGTGCCCGTGTCGGACTGCGATAAGTGTTTGGTGTTTATGGCCGGGCTGGGCAAGGGCGAACAATCATGGCGAGACCCCAACGCCACCTTCATCCAGCGTTGTCACGACTGGTCCGAGCACGGCGTTGGAATGCAGTTCCATGCTGTGGCATACAACGCGTTCGCCATATCCACGCTTGTGTGCATCGGCCAGTTGGAATCGGTCCCGCAAGAGACGCTGCGACTGGAGGAATCCTGGCTCAGGAGGACGCGCAAAGGACCTGGGAAGCGGGCGGTGCCCGATGATTTATGGCGCCTGCAGGAACATTTCGGCCAGTTGGCCTCGTGCCGCAGCAGCTACCTGACCGCCAAAGCCGCGCAACTTCGAGCTCGCGTCTGGTATTTGGCGTACACGGCAGCCCACTATCAGCGCGAGGTACATGACCTTCGGCAAGCTCTTGCATGCCCGAAATATCTACACAACTGGACGCGGTGGGACGATTTGTATTCCCCAGCTTTTGCAGTTACCCTCGAAGATACCCTACAATGGTTCACGCACCATGTCTGCCCAATCGAAGACATCTGCAATACACCGAGCGAGCCAAACGACGACCGCGACCATGACGGCGAGGACCAAGCGGACGACGGCAGCGGCGCCGCCACCAGGACGACGAACAGCTCGGGCACGCACGCCCCTCTGCGCCCCCAGACCAACTTCCAACGACGAGCTCACCAGACGCCACTCGCACACCACGCCCCGCACCCAAGCTACCGCATTCGCTGCAAATTCCAGCGCTGGGACCTCCAAAACGCAGCAAAACGCCCACCGCCCTCAGGGGCGAGCTGCCGGTGCAACACGCCTACCTGGCAACCAGGCTCTGGCAAGTCTCCACTTGCTCTTGAAACTGGCCCCTCCGCGGGTCTGCGCCGCAGTATTCGGCACGCTGTGGAACAGATGGTGCACGTGCAGGCGGTACCAACAGAGGCACTCAGCACGCAACCGTCGCGTCCTGGGTTGTGGAGGAGCTGCGGAAGACTCTATAGAGCACTGTTGCGGATGCCCGATGACGAAGCGAGCCATGGAGCGCAGGCTGAACATGTCCCCCTTCCGCCTTCGCCAATATTCATACATTCTTGCTCTGCAATGTGAATATCAAAACATGCGATGAACTTACCTCAGTGTCACTGCTAGTCTGCGCCATGTGCAACGCCACGAGCCACTACAGACACAACCCACTCACCCTGGACACCGACGTACACGGCGCAGTGACGCAATGGATGCGCGAAGGTGCCAAGCGCCATGCCAACGCGACGAGGGCACTCGACTATAGATGGCACCCGGCACGACGGGACAAGGCATTGCCGCCGATACCAGCGCACCTATGACGGACTCGCCTCCCCTCCCCCGAACTACGTCGTGCTCCAATTCTTGCCCCAATCCCGACTCTCACACAATACCGACTCCCAGCGCGATTTGCTCACCAACTCTCGCGCCGACCAGCTCACCGACTCCATCGCCGATCAACTCGCCGACTCTCGGGCCGACGACGGTCAACAACCAACATCCACCAGCTCGGCACCCCGACCTCCAGCATCCGACGTCCTACTCTCGACTCCAGCTCGCCGACCAGCTCGCCCGCCCCAGCGACGACCAGCTCGAGGGCGGAAGCCATGACAAGTCCGAGAGCGGAAACCGTGACAGGCCCAGGGGGGGTATCCTGTGACACACCGAACTCCCGCGCTGGCCAACTCACCGGCTCCCTCACCGACTGGCTCGCCGACCATCGCGCCGACCATCGCCGACCAGCTCGCCCACTCCGTCGCCATCGAGCTCGACCGCGCGGCCGGGACAGGTGAATCATGTTCCAGCAGAGCGTTTCAGGAACATGATTCGAGCATCGGCCCAGGCATGATTCCTGAGGGCTTTTCTGTCTGGCGCGGGCCCCCTCCCCCTCCCCCCCCCCCTCCCCCCGTTGCGTCCAGCGTCTCTGCCCGTGCATGCGCCCCGGGGCCGGACGTGCAGCTCCATGGGTGGCCGAGGCTCCTCGCCTCCCCCGGGGCTTTTTTTTCGTTTTCTTCCTGCCGCAGTCTTTCCCGAGGCCGCCCGCGCCACAGGTCTGCGCGCCCAGCCGCGCCCGACCCTGCGCGGTAGGGCCCAGGCCGGTTCTGTTGCGCACGCCCTACAGATATGCAATACGTTCTCTTGCCCCCCCCCCCTCCCCCCGCGTCTTTCTTTCGCTTCTGCTCGCGCGGGCATTAGTGCGAGCGCCGCCTACCAAGGCCGGTCTGCGCACGCGCGAGCTTCATCGAAGACCCTGCCCGGGATCTGCTGTCCTCCCGTTCCCTCCTCCTCCTCTTCCCATCCTCATTTTCCTTCTCTTTCTCCTCTCCTCCTCTCCTCCTCCTCCTCCTCCTCTTCCTCCTCCTCCTCTCCTCCGCCCGAGGCCGCCGCGCGTATTCGCTGGTCTGACGCCGCCGCGCCTGCTGGCGCCCCCGTCACCGAGCGCGACGCCCTGGCGAACGAGCTGGCCGCCGCCTTCGCGGGCCCCATGGCGGCAGCGCAGTGGCTTTAGCACGCGATGGTCACCGTGGTCCACCAAACCACAGAAGGATGGCCTCAACGTTGCATCGTGGAACACGCAGGCACTCATGGGGAGATCGCCGACACGGAGAACCATGAAGCGCAGCATGCTAATGCCATACATGCGCCAGCGCTCTGTCATAGCCCTTCAGGAGACCCACGGCAACTACGCGGACATTCAGAACTTCGTCGACGCCTCCACGCACCCGTACCTGTCCAACCATTCCGCCCTCGTGAACGACGGCGAGCCCTCCGAGACCGCGGGTGGCGTCGCCTTCCTCGTTCCATACGACAAGCGCGAACTCGGGCTACCTGTCGATCAGCGTCTGTCCGTGACTTTCGTCCCACTGTGCGCGGCCGCATCGCTGAGCTTCGCGTGAAGGACGCTAGCGGTGCAATCGAAACGACGATCTTCAACGTTCACAATTACGAGCTCTCGCAGCACGATCGGTAGTTGTTTAAGTGGGCATGGGGCGCAGCTCAAGCTCGAACAGCAGCCAGCCCGAGCACGCACAACTTTATCCTCATCGGCGACTTCAACTTCTCGGAGTTTCCGCTCAATAGCCTGCTGCGCCCCATCGACGCCACCACCGCAGACAGGTACCAGCACCAACCCATTTTCTGGAAGCAGATCTTCTCGACACTGATAGAAGTCACTACAAGATCTACCACGCACCGCAGTTCGGCAAGCATGACAGAGGCCACGATCGACCGCTGCTTCATCTCCACCGCCGCCTTCAACGTGCCCCACGTAGAGATCCACCTGACCGTCGACAGCCGACCCCTGGAGCGCGTCGGCGAGCCTGCAAGCGACCACAAAAT